TTGCGTACCTTGTAGGTTTGATTTTTTTTTAGGGGGGGGGGCTGCTCAGGGCGCCACTTTGAGCTTTACAATAAAAGGATACTCTAATAATCGATGTGTGTGTTTTTTTGTTTTTTTTTGGGAGGGGGGCGCAGTGACGTCTTAAGGCATGGGCCCAGTGAGCACTGGCTCAGGGCCCCACGTTTGTACGAGACTCATTCTTATAGAGGCATCATTCTTTAAATAATTTTATTGAATATTGAACGATTTTGGCAATTCAATTGGATTTCAAAATGCCCAATTTTAACCCACGATTCTTATCAGCACATTCCAAAATTAATATTATAAATGCGAATCAAAGTGGGAGAGTTTGAAAACATTTAAAGAGGAATAACTCTCGTCAACAAGTTTTACTTTTCCGAGATTTAAATCGAAAAAAAAAAAATAGGTGAGAAAGAAACAGGTTCGTTGCATAATTTATTCTATCTCTCTGTCATTAATGATAATTTACTGTCCTCTTTGATTATTTTCTGATAATGTTTTAAAACTATTATTGATTTTTGAATGGTTTTTTTTTCTTTTGTTTTTTTTTTACTTAATAAATTGAAATCATCGAGGTTTAACTTTATTTTTAGAGTGTTTATTTTTATTTTACTTTTTTTTTTAATTCCTCTTGATGAGTTGGTGGGGAGCAGGAACTGTCCCCCCCCCCCCCCCCCATTTTTTTTTTTTTTTTTTTATTTTATATATTTTAATCTTTTTGTTTTTATTTTATTTTTATTATTTTTTTTTTTTTTTTACTTTTTTTTTTAATTCCTTTTTATGAGTTTGTGGGGAGCAGGAACTGTCCCCCCCCCCCCAACCTGTTTAAGCATGGGGCAAGTGCCCCCCTTCTACCCCCTTCCCACGGCCCAGGTATGTTGTGTTGCTAGAGGCCCCAGTGTATTCCTGGGCCCCGGGCCTCCTATGTTGTTAAGACGTCCCTGGGAAAGGGGCGCCCTTTTGGGAGTTTCCTTCGGACATCCCTGACGTCATCAAAAGACGACAGTCTTTCAAAATCTTACCAAGGATGATTACGTCATAGGATAGGTTAAAAATTTAATTTTCCCTAATTTATGTGTCTTCCTCTAATTCTATAACTTGCTTTGTACGGAGATGCCCAATAGTGCCGTCACTATTACATAAGCAGCTCGTACGTTCAAGATCTTCAAGTCCCAGCCCCTCAAAGATGTGGGGGACTTTGTCTCAAAGCCTCTTAAAGGGTGTGGGCCCTAGGCATTAGATTAATCACTGGTGCCCCACACCCCCCATTGTTCCATAGGCCAAAACCAAATTCCCAAATGAATCCTCAAGGCTCAAAGGAATTACAGTCGAAAACTGAACGTTTACCAGGTATGTATCACATTGAAGGACGTCGAAACAAACTGAAGGCGGTGTCAAGCCAAGCGTGGAACTGGGCTAAACTCACTTGTGTCAGGACGCGTGCACCAAACTCTATTATCGACACAAGGTGACACTAGCGTGACCAAATCATGAACTGGAAAAAACAGGACAAAGGAGGGTTTTTTTTTTTGGGGGGGGGGGGGGGGGGGGGGGCCCTACAGGTAAAGGGGGGGCCGGGTTCCGCCGGAAACTGTTTTGTGAAATATGCTAATTTTTTACTTTTTTGAGACCTAGAGATTAATTTTAAATATTCCTTCACTTTTTTAAAATTTTAATTTAAACTCTGAGGCATATCAATATCATAAACGAAAAATATAATTTTGTAGTGAATACTTATTTATTTACCGTATACATATTTTACAACATAATTCAACAAATTAAATTTCTCTAGTCTAGGATTTAAATTGAGGATATTTGGCTGTTGTCCCAGCCATTGTTAAAACCTCCTTCTTATCTAATATAAAGTTGTCAAAACTAGAACAGAAAATGCGTTTGGTTTCAGAAACGGGACATTTAGGCGTCACGAGAGACTTTTATCGGGACACCGGGTACGATCGTGTAAAAAAACGGGACAATCCCGTTTTTACGGGACGTTTGGTCTCCCTAGGTTAGACTCTATTTGAACGCTGTGACCAGTAACTACTTCCGTCCTTTGGAATGTTGTCCGCTTACGTTTGGTCTCCCTAGGTTAGACTCTATTTGAACGCTGTGACCAGTAACTACTTCCGTCCTTTGGAATGTTGTCCGCTTAATTTTTGAAATTATTATCGTAAGATACCAACTACAAAAGTCAAAATCAAAACTTCTTTTATACAACTTCCACGTTTAATATGTTTTTTTTTTTTAACTTGACGTAACATTTACACGAATTAATCACTTTGACATAAAATTATCAAATTTTAACTTTGGCCAATACCGGTAGGTAATTTTTGGCAAAGCTGTCTTTAGTTGTTTTGTTGTTTTTTTTAAAAATATAAATCTGTTACCTTCAAACAGTGAATCTAAATACTTAAATATAATAATATTTGATCTTGACGATTTAAGGTGACACCAATCACAGGTCTGACGAGTTATCCTGCCCGTTACCGTTCGTGAACCTGACCTGACTTAACTGCACGCGGAAAGTGTACATTTCTTCTTGCCACGACCGTCAACGAACTTTTAGCCAAGGTCTTAGGACTTCCGGGGTATACAAAGCTTGTTGGAGAGTTTTGCTTTGTGGGCGCCGGTGACGAAGGGTGACCAAATTATGAACTGGAAAAAGCGGAACACACCCAAGAAGGGTTTGGGGGGAGGGGAGGGGGGGGAATACCCACCAGCGAAAGAGGGGTCCGGGGGTTCCTCCGTCGGACATTGTTTTTTTTTTAAATATGCTTATTTTAACTATTCTGAGACCTAGAAATATTTTTTAATTTACTTTCACTTTTGTAGTTTAGTTTACACCCTGAGGCATATCATAAACGAAAACAATAATTTTACAGTGAATACTTATTTTTTTAATCATATTTTACAACAACACAACGAAATAAATGCAGCCATCACGCGAGCCCACATCACTACTGGCACCGACTACACAGCTAGCCAAAATATTACTTGAAGTTATATTATAAAATAGTGATTTGAAAATGTGGTTGGTTTTAGAAACGGAACATTTAGGCTTCCGTTAGGTTATAGAAATGGGACACTTAGGCGTCCCGGGAGACTTTTTCGGTACACCGTTTAACGATCGTGGAAAAAAACGGGCCAATCCCGTTTTGACGGGACGTTTGGTCACCCTACGGTTTTATGAATTTATATACGATATCCATCAGTCATTTAACTATTAACTATTGGGAGTGTAAAACAAGATGATCGAATGCAAGCGCTCCACTCAGCCACGTGGCAGACGTTGTGAAGGCTTAAAATAGATATTGCTAGTGTTGACAGACCATGTAGAAAAAATAGCTTTGACATTCTCTTATTAGGTCCCAAATAAATGGTCTTCTCTTGCGCCCACCCTATCTCCACTCCGTGTTTTGCCTCCCTCGGTTGCGTACCTTGGAGGTGTGATTTTTTTTTAGGGGGGGGGGGGCTGCTCAGGGCGCCACTTTGAGCTTTACAATAAAAGGATACTCTAATAATCGATGTGTGTGTTTTTTTTTTTTTTTTTGGGAGGGGGGCGCGGTGACGTCTTAAGGCATGGGCCCAGTGAGCACTGGCCCAGGGCCCCAAAAATTTTCACCCCCCCCCCCCCCCCGAAAAAAAAAAGAAAAACAAAAGGGGGGGGGGGATTTTATTTTAAATAAATTTATAAATACATTTTACTTTGTACTGATCTATTTAATGACAAAAAAATTGTAGGAAACAAATTTCATTACATTTTTAGCTTGTTAAAAAGTTACAAGTTAAAAAAGTTTTTACACTTAAATTTTATAACGCAGAATCAATTGAAAGGTCGTGAAAGACTAAATATCACTGTTTATGGTATAAATATGATTATTGTCAGTGAAGCTGTAATTTATAATATAGTCTGCCCCCACCCCATATTTGCAGGTTTTATTTAAATTGCTATGAACTGTGGCACCTCCAGTAATACGCAACTTGACAAGCCGATGAAGTTTTGGGTTTGCCCCCCTACACCCTTGAAAAAAAAATGAAATGACGCCCCTAATGGGCATAGTCGATAGTAGCTGATTGATTATTTTCATCTTGCGGCACTGATATACCAGACAAGTCAACATCATCCTCATCTAATCATTCAGCACTTAAAATAGAAGCATTGTCGGTGTGAGCAATAATTGCCATAAGCTCTCTCTATCTCCTTTGAGCTACTCGCATTGGTCGAATCCTTTTTCGTTGAGGAGCAGGTGCTAATTTCTTATGCTCAAGAGGGCATTGTCAGTTCTGTTGAACATGCTTTTTCAACATGACTTGTGGTGCAAAATAGTTGTTACAGATTTTTCAAATCCGATCAAGCAGCGATGTTATTGTTGTTGCTCACTTTACATTTACCTAATTCTCAAAGTATCGTATTCCTACTCCATCAATATCAGTTATCTTGACTGCACAGGACACTTGAACCTTGTCCTTGTTCCACACCTGCAAACAGAATCTACAGGTGAAGAGAGGCCAACTTGTGGCTTCTCTTGCACTAACAAAGTGTGCTAACATTCTGACCAGCCATCTGCAGTGCACAGACACAAATTAAATAAATCTTGTCTTGTTAAAAGCCTAAAAACTATATGACTATTTACACTCATTTCCACTTATATTTTTTTTAAAAATAATGTAATAACCAGTCCCCCTGGTCAACAACTGTCAAACATTTCCAACCCCCTCCCCGCACCCTATCTTGCTGACGAAATTATAGGACGCCCCCCCCCCCCGTTTTTAGACACCCAACACACATGTGCCAGAAGCAAATGGTTACATACGCACAAGTCGTTTCACTCTGTAAGGACACTGTTGTTGTGCCCGCGAGCTCAGATCTGTAACGTCTAACGATTTCACAAGTTACAGTTATCGCCCCGTTGACCTAGATTACGTACATCCCATGATTTTTTCTTCTCTTAACTGCCGACATAACCTCACTGTGACAATCATTCCAGCTGCCTGTCAGTGTTTGGGTTGCTGCACCTCTCGGCTGTTTTTTTGGGTAAAAAGGTGTTTTGTGTTTTTATTAATGTAAATAACTAGATAAGGTCGCGCATGTTATCACGTAATCAGTCAGACCGTGTTTACTGTGAGCTGACAATTCTGTAGGCACTACTGTAGGCTGTTGTAGGTAAGCCACGACATGTGATGTTTTGTTGTTGTATTGACTAACGTCTCGGCCCGGCCAGGTCTCTGTTACGACATTGATCTAAGGCTAAAAATGGCATATTTTGTTATTTCAGACCTGGAACTGGAATGCCATTCAAGGTTTTATAGAGTTTTACTTCTTGGCCAATTATTCTCTCAACAGTCTTGCTACACTTTGAACACTAGGCCTATGCTGCATGATGCATGCTTAGACCTGGAATGGCATTCAATGTTTTATAGTTTTACTTCTTGGCCAATCATTCTCTCAACAGTCTTGCTACACTTTGAACACTAGGCCTATGCTGCATGATGCATGCTTAGACCTGGAATGGCATTCAATGTTTTATAGTTTTACTTCTTGGCCAATTATTCTCTCAACAGTCTTGCTACACTTTGAACACTAGGCCTATGCTGCATGATGCATGCTTCGATGAAATTCTTTGCGTAGGTTTATTAGGATGGAAATGCCAATAACCAGTAGCGGCAGTTAACAGAGAGTGTGAGGATTGAGGAGAGGGATGGTCGGGGTGGGGGTGGAGGTGGGGTGTTGTCAGTGCTGACAAATGTAAGTCCTCAGCCATATAATTTTATATAATAATTGATGACTATTTTTTTTAAAAATATATAAATGGCCTTTCAATTATACCCCCTTCCAATATGTTCACCTAAACACACAAAAACAACAACAACAAAAAAAAAGAACAAAAAAAACCTTACCATTCAAGAGTGATTATTTACCTAGTGCTTGTTCAGTGATAATATTGATTGCTTCTCTAGGCTCATCGTACCGCTCATCGTAACGCTCATTGTACCGCGCATCCTCTTGGATTTGATAGAAGATTCAGGCGCCATGGAACCAGAGGACCCAACATCCATTACCTGGCTGTTTTCAAGTGTGTCCTTCTACCTTCTATTGTCAACCATTGTGGCTGCAATTTACCTGATCTATAGCCAGGTGACTGACACGGAGACCTGGGAGAAGTATGGCGTTAAGCAGGTCAACATGGGGCTGGTCAATCTCAGGTAAACATTTCAATAGTTTCTCTTTAAAATTTTGTGTCTGCCTGCTTCTATATTTAATATTTAAAAATGCCCTGAAACCAAAAACTACACAGCTACCTTATTCAAAGGCCAATATTTAATTTTCTAATGGAATCACTACTTTGCAGTTGGCAGAAATTCTGGTTACACTACTTTGTCTGGAGTTGGCAGACATTCCGGTTACACTACTTTGTCTGGAGTTGGCAGACATTCTGGTTACACTACTTTGTCTGGAGTTGGCAGGCATTCTGGTTACACTACTTTGTCTGGAGTTGGCAGACATTCTGGTTACACTACTTTGTCTGTAGTTAGCAGACATTCTGGTTACACTACTTTGTCTGGAGTTAGCATACATTCTGTGTTCACTACTGTGTCTGAGAGTTGGCAGACATTCTGGTTACACTACTTTGTCTGGAGTTGGCAGACATTCTGGTTACACTACTTTGTCTGGAGTTGGCAGACATTCTGGTTACACTACTTTGTCTGGAGTTGGCAGACATTCTGGGTACACTACTTTGTATGGAGTTAGCAGACATTCTGGTTACACTAGTTTTTCTGGAGTTGGCAGACATTCTGGTTACCATACTTTGTCTGTAGTTGGCAGACATTCTGGTTACACTACTTTGTCTGGAGTTGGCAGACATTCTGGTTACCATACTTTGTCTGGAGTTGGCAGGCATTCTGTCTCCAATGATATTTCTGTTGTCAACTTAAAAGCCTATTTTTAAATGGAGATCATCCTAAGTATCATTTGGACATCTTGGCATGTTTTTTTACCTAAAGTTTGAGACAAGGCATGCATCTAACGTTGTTGACTCATAAATTTCATCTAGGAGTCATGAATCTGATGTTAGAGATCTTGGAGTTGGTGGAAAAAGACACACACACACACACATATATCTTGTCTTATAGTAACACCAGTTTCTCTTATTTTATCATATTTCTACATGAGGGATTTTGATATTGTTGAGATGACATTTAAATGGATATTCTAGAATGTCCTCACCAACTTGAAAGGAATGGAAGACAAGAAATTCAAGAATCAAATTGAAATGTTGGAACAATTAAATGGTCCTTAATTTTACCTAAAGTTAAGTTCAAACAGAGAATGCGTTTATTTCAGCTCAATATTTTCACTGTAACCTGTTAAACGTCACAATAGCACACAGTTCCAACGCTGCTTGTTGTGTTTATATAGTTGTATTATCACTCCCAACTGTACAGAGTTTTAATTGAAATCTGGTTTCAGGGATGGTTTTGAAAAACTTTTGGAAGAGCATGGGGACACAGTTGGTTTGAAACGTGGACCGATGCTGCTCCTGACCAAAGACTTGTCCATCCTCAAGGAGGTGATGATCAAAGATTTTAACAACTTTGCAGACAGGGTTGGAAACATTAACACATTGTCTGTAGTGGGCAAGGGAGTTTTTTTCCTACAAGGTCAAGACTGGAGGAGAATACGCCACATCATCACCCCTTCTTTTAGGTAATATAAGCTGAGATTTAAGGAAAATAAATATACTTATTATAATGTTACAATAATACTGCAAACATTTTATGATGGATTTAATATTTCCTGGTACAAAATTTTAATTCCAAAACAAAGAAAAACTCTATTCTTATTATATTGTAATGTTACATTTAAAAATGCGAAAAGATTCATAGAAACCAGTAAGAACAATGACCAGACGAGAAGACAAGAAGACATTTCAATATTTTATTAAATTACCTCATGTGTCAATGTCCATATGAATTACATAGTTAACGCTTTCAATATTTTATTCTAATGCCTCATGTATCAGTGTCCTTATGTAGCACTTATTAACACTTGAAAACTTTTAAAAGTGCATACATTTGAAGTATTTTTGATACTATAATCAACAAGCACATTATTTTTATTAACAAAATTATATCCAGCAAAATCTAATATAGGCCTATTTATAAAATCTCAGTCATATAAGAATACTATTAAGTCTAATGTTATCCTAAAGAACTTAGTCTTTTTTCCAAAATATTTCATGTCCTACACCATGTCTAATGATATCCTAATCAATTCACTTGTCAGATTCAGTGCTCCTCAAAATAAGAAGGTCTATGAACTAAATTGCAAATAAGGTTTCTTTTTTTTTAAACCTCAGCTCTGGTAAACTCAAACATTATGCACTGACCGTAGATGAACGTGCCAGCAAACTGACCAAGGTCCTAGAGGACTATGCCAGGAAGGATATGCTTGTGCCCATAAAGGACACAACTGGCCAGTACACGAGCGAGATTATTGCCAAGACGGCCTTTGGGTTCAACACGGACTGTCTGGGCAAGGAGGACGATGAGTTCACCTACTACTGTAAGAATATCTTTAAAATAAGAAACAAAGTCATGTCCAAGGTGATGCTGTTCTTCTTCAGATACACATCTATCCACAAGTTTTTTGTGAAGGTGGGTCTTAAAACTAGTATTTGCTGCTGCTTTGCAATAATTATGCTTAAATTATCAAATATTCTTTGTAATATTATGTCTGAATTTAGTACAATCTTTTGATTCAGTAAGTGAAATTTTTCTTCAATGTATTTATATACGTGATCATAATTTTAAAATCTTTTGCATAGATCATTGGATAGAGTTCTTTTCTCAAAATTAATTTTTCATATTTTCAACCCGTCAACAATTCACACAATGCACAGTTTGCCATTTTTTTTTTAAACAGACTTTAAAAATTAAACTGTTTGATGGAGCGAGGTCAGATGCTGATACGTATTTTAAGACAATTCTTAAAAACTCAATAGAGGAAAGGAAAGAGCAACAGCAGAAAGGTCAGAAACAGCCAGCTGACCTGCTACAGAGTTTAATTCAGGCTAGGATTGCTGATGACCTAATTAAGCAAGAAGGTATTAAAAAGAAATGAAAGAATTGTATATTTTTCCATTGATTATTGTTATAAAATGTATTAACCAATTTTAAGAGTGTTGGACTGTGCTAAAGCATTAAAGTAGATTAATTAGACATGTTAAAGTAGATTAATTAGACACAAACAATTGTGTAAATAAAATAATATACTTTCAGCTTTAATAGCGGTCATACAGAATACAAATGTAAACGTTCCGGAAAACGCCTTCATCAGAACAAAAAAATTCATATAAGTATACATTAAATATTACATAAGATATATTTACAAGTATCCTACCAAAAAAAGGAGAGAATAGAATAAGAGAGAGTGTTAATTCCATCAATTGTAATCTGTGATGAACAATTTGAATTATAAAATAGTAAAAAGAATTTGTCTATAATTAATTTCCTTAGAGGGCACGACGGAAGATGCCAAGCAAACCAATGGTCATAATTGGGACAAACTTCCCAAGACTATGTCAGAGGAGGAGCTGATGGGTCAGTCCATGTTGATCATGTTTGCTGGGTTTGAGACTACTGCCACAACACTAATGATGTGTCTTCATTTACTGGCCAAACATCCAGATACTCAAGTAAGGGATTATATTAGTTTTTGAAGGAGCAACTGTGGGTTGCTTTGTACTGGTTGTGTATATATTGATGAAGAAAAAATGTTACTTTCTAAAGTATTTGGGTTTTATCAGAAAACCATTAAATAACAGTTTTATAGATTTTGTTAAAGAGACAGTGACAAGTAGTTTATAAATCTTAGATAATTTATCATCATTTGAAATCCAATTATAAATCAATTAATTTTTGGCATAAAATTACACCATTTTGTTTTAATTTTTCTTTTTAAGATGTGTTAAATATCTCTTAATAGCAGGTAAATTATTTAATGCAAAAAGTTTTCAAAAAAATGTTGCAGAGGCTTAATAACATATTCTAATTTAAAATATTTTAATTTGAGAATCTTGTTAGCTTAAACTATGCAATTTAGACCATTTTATACTCATATAATATTTTTATCTCTTATTGCATTACATAATTATTTATTTTTTGCTTTAGGAAAAGATGTATGAAGAAATAGAGAATGTTGTTCAGTCTGAGTCCCCAACGTATGATGAGATTGGACAGCTGACCTACATGGAACAAGTCATCAATGAGACCCTGCGTTTGTATCCTCCCGCTCCTATCATGTCCAGAATGGCAGCTGAAACCAGAACCTATGGCACCATCACCATCCCTAAAGGTGCAGGGGTCATGATCCCAATATTTGCAGTACTTAAAGACCCTAAGAATTACCCGGACCCTGAAAAGTTTGATCCCGATAGGTTCTCAGATGAGAACAAGGCAAAGAGGGACCCAATGGCTTTCATGGCATTTGGATTTGGTCCACGTAACTGCATTGGAATGAGATTGGCATATTTGGAACTGAAAATGGCTTTGGCCCACATTATAAGGAAAGTACGTTTTGAACTGAATGAGAGAACTGAGCCCAAGAAAGGGGAAGAGCTTGTGGTAAAAAACCAGGGGCTTCTACGTATAGACAAACCCATTAAGTTGGCTGTCAAGCTGAGGCACTGAAATCTTGTTATTCATACGAGGCAGAATTTTTTTTTTATATACAAATAGTATTTTATTAACATGAATTCTCAACTTGAAAATATTTTTTTTCACTATATTAAAATTGTGCAATTATAAAATACAATTTGATATCTCACCCAAGTATTTTAAAGTTAAAGTGATCAGAAATAGTTTATTAGCTGGTATATAATTTTGTTCTTAGATTGATAACTTTCTATGTTGAACAGCACATATTATTATGCAAGAAAAAATTAAAATGTATACAGTACACAAAAAATGTTATAAGCTTAGAGCCAGATTTTATAAGCTTAGAGCCAGATTTTATAAGCTTAGAGCCAGATTTTATAAGCTTAGAGCCAGATTTTATAAGCTTAGAGCCAGATTTTATAAGCTTAGAGCCAGATTTTATAAGCTTAGAGCCAGATTTTATAAGCTTAGAGCCAGATTTTATAAGCTTAGAGCCAGATTTTATAAGCTTAGGGACAGATTTTATAAGCTTAGAGCCAGATTTTATAAGCTTAGGGACATATTTTATAAGCTTAGAGCCAGATTTTATAAGCTTAGGGACAGATTTTATAAGCTTAGAGCCAGATTTTATAAGCTTAGGGACAGATTTTATAAGCTTAGAGCCAGATTTTATAAGCTTAGAGCCAGATTTTATAAGCTTAGAGCCAGATTTTATAAGCTTAGGGACAGATTTTATAAGCTTAGAGCCAGATTTTATAAGCTTAGAGCCAGATTTTATAAGCTTAGAGCCAGATTTTATAAGCTTAGGGACAGATTTTATAAGCTTAGAGCCAGATTTTATAAGCTTAGAGCCAGATTTTATAAGCTTAGAGCCAGATTTTATAAGCTTAGAGCCAGATTTTATAAGCTTAGAGCCAGATTTTATAAGCTTAGGACAGATTTTATAAGCTTAGAGCCAGATTTTATAAGCTTAGGGACATATTTTATAAGCTTAGAGCCAGATTTTATAAGCTTAGAGCCATATTTTATAAGCTTAGAGCCAGATTTTATAAGCTTAGAGCCAGATTTTATAAGCTTAGAGCCAGATTTTATAAGCTTAGAGCCAGATTTTATAAGCTTAGGGACATATTTTATAAGCTTAGGGACAGATTTTATAAGCTTAGAGCCAGATTTTATAAGCTTAGGGACAGATTTTATAAGCTTAGGGACAGATTTTATAAGCTTAGAGCCAGATTTTATAAGCTTAGGGACAGATTTTATAAGCTTAGAGCCAGATTTTATAAGCTTAGGGACAGATTTTATAAGCTTAGAGCCAGATTTTATAAGCTTAGGGACAGATTTTATAAGCTTAGAGCCAGATTTTATAAGCTTAGGGACAGATTTTATAAGCTTAGAGCCAGATTTTATAAGCTTAGGGACAGATTTTATAAGCTTAGAGCCAGATTTTATAAGCTTAGAGCCAGATTTTATAAGCTTAGGGACATATTTTATAAGCTTAGAGCCAGATTTTATAAGCTTAGGGACAGATTTTATAAGCTTAGAGCCAGATTTTATAAGCTAAGAGCCAGATTTTATAAGCTTAGGGACAGATTTTATAAGTTTGGAGACAGATTTTATAAGCTTAGGGACAGATTTTATAAGCTTAGAGCCAGATTTTATAAGCTTAGAGCCAGATTTTATAAGCTTAGGGACAGATTTTATAAGTTTGGAGACAGATTTTATAAGCTTTGAGCCATATTTTAAAAGCTTAAAGCCAGATTTTAATGGCTAAGCTGGCACTACTTAACGAGTTCTTAAAAACAGTTTAATTTAGATTCATATTATGAATACTTTTAAAATTCAAGATATGTTTTCTCAGATCAGGGATAAGTATTTCCAGAGTAAATTTAGATATAAAGTGTATTTGTCACCCCAGATTGCATTTTATGGAATTAGTTGTTATTTTTCGACTTGTGAAACATTTCTGAAGGACAAAGCAAAATCTTATCATTATGCTTATTCTAAATACACCAGGATAAACCGCACTTATTCTAACACACCCGGATAAACCGTACTTATTCTAACACACCCGGATAAGCCGTACTTATTCTAACACACCCGGATAAACCGTACTTATTCTAACACACCCGGATAAACCGTACTTATTCTAACACACCCAGATAAACCGTACTTATTCTAAATACACCAGGATAAACCGTACTTATTCTAAACACACCCGGATAAACTGTACTTATTCTAAACACACCGGGATAAACTGTACTTATTCTAAACACACAAGGATAAACCATACTTATTCTATAATACACTGTTATAAACCGGACTCTTTAACTTGATGCATTTCTACAAAAAATGTAACAAATAAAATAGAACAAAACAGATAAGTGTTGTCATAAGATATAAACAATAGTGTGGAATGCGAGGTCCTGTGCCGCCCCAGACTGCATTTTTTAATTTATATTGCATGATGACATTTTCAGCCTACTGCAGAGTCTTTTAGTCTGAAAGAGTTGTCAAGAAGCTTGGCCTGCGCAGTTGGCATTCACCCTAGCCTTGCAACTGGATATACATTTATATACATCAAATTAAAACCTTACAAAGAAATGAACAAACTTGAACAAATGATGGCTCTCAGTTATAAGTACGTATAAACAGTTATGAATTTATGATTTTTTTTTTTAAATATTGATGTTAGATGATTTTCTTAAGGCTTTTATGCAAACGTTTCAAGGTGACAAGTGGTCTGTGAATTCAGTGCCATGGAACATAAGGTCTATGAATGCAGTGCCATGGAACATAAGGTCTGTGAATGCAGTGCCATGGAACATAAGGTCTGTGAATGCAGTGCCATGGAACATAAGGTCTGTGAATGCAGTGCCATGGAACATAAGTTCTGTGAATGCAGTGCCATGGAACATAAGGTCTGTGAATGCAGTGCCATGGAACATAAGGTCTGTGAATGCAGTGCCATGGAACATAAGGTCTGTGAATGCAGTGCCATGGAACATAAGGTCTGTGAATGCAGTGCCATGGAACATAAGGTCTGTGAATGCAGTGCCATGGAACATAAGGTCTGTGAATGCAGTGCCATGGTACATAAGGTCTGTGAATGCAGTGCCATGGAACATAAGGTCTGTGAATGCAGTGCCATGGAACATAAGGTCTGTGAATGCAGTTCCATGGAACATAATGCAACGACCCTTTTGCAGTATCTAACCTGAATCATTTCATCATGTAAAATTGTTCTTCTTTTAAACTTTCCCTCTTGCTTTTTAAACAAATGTTTCTATGAACAGATTTTGATAATTATAATAGGAAATCTAAAACAATTAATTAACAAATCCCCATGAAGAAAATATTTTTTGGACACTTTATTGAAAAAAATTCACATGCCAGAAATAACAACTAAAAAATGTGTGCATTTTCATGGTAGTCTTAATCCACTCATGTTTTTCTATTTTCTCTCTTTTGTTCTTGTTTTAAAAGCTCAGTTGGGGTAAAAATATTTTAATATGAATTAAAAAAAAACAAAAAAAAATTAATGACAGTACACACAAATACTCACATTACTCACAATTAATCACAGTACACAATGACAGTACACAAATTTAATGAGTTTCTTTTATCTCATTGCTTTTATGATATTCTTTTGCTCATGTTTATTTGATCATACTCATAATATCCAGTGAAACAAGTGATTTTAAAGTTTTATATGATCTGAATGCCATACAGCTGTAAGGTACGTCAAATTTATGAATTGTTTAAAAAATTAATTGTGGAACAAGATATGTTTAGGCTTAAAAAAAGAAGCCAGGACTATGGCATGGACGTCTTGGCTAAATGCCTTCTTCAGCCGTCGAGACAAAAAACATTATTATTTTTAATTATGAAGAGTTTTATCTATGGAACTTTTTGTCCTCTCTTTTTTTCTTCTTGTTTTAAAGCTAAATGATCTAATATGCAAATGTTTGTGTAGATATGCAATACAGTTTTTCAATATTTATCTTACAACATTGTTAAAGAGCCCTAAAGTAGGCTACTATTTTTTCTTACAGCCTGAAGTCACATCCGAAATAAAATTTCTTTACAATAATGACGTCATCACGGTTGATTTAACTGTTGTTGTTTTGGTTTGGTTCAGAGAAATAATTAAAAAAATAATGCTAGCTCCCGCGCCCCCAGCTAAAAATATCACAATTCACCTTATAAGAATAAATATCTTCATACTGATTTTAAAAATAAAAATACAATAAAACAAAACATTGCTAAAGGGATAGACCTACATTATAAATTTTTAAATAATCTCTCCCCCCACCATTTCTAGTTAGTACGCAGCATTGTATTGGGTGGCTGATGCTCTACATTGTCTACATCCTAAATCCAAAGCAATGTTTTAAGTAAATTACTGTACTTCGCACCCTCCCCCAAAAATTGTTTGAATAGGAGGCACATACCTCCTAGAAATGTTTTTCAATAGTCTCACCCCTCCCCACTCATTTTTTTTAAATATACAAAAGTAACAATTCATTTTACATTTTAGAAAAAAAAAATGGAATTTTAATTTGTTTACAAAGAGAACTCTACAACTTAGAAAATAAACTTGCTCCTTATTACGCTAATGCCACCGCTGGTCTTAAAATTCCCCTTTTTTTTGGGCAGTGTGAGCACCGCACTTTGAGAAACCCTTCTCTAATTCTAATAATAATAATAATAAAGTTTATTAGAAAATCACGCTTCATCCCCAGACGGTCGAAGCGCGGTACAAAGTCAACCATATTAAAAGAGAAATGAAAAAATCGATATTATACTACATTGAAATACAAAACGCGACGTTATAAAAACTACATACGAGAATAACCATTCTAAGTCTTTCATCCCTTGCAACCATAATCAACACAGGGCAATATAAATCTAGGAGACAATAGCCAGCTGGAAAAGTTGGTAGACAACATCACCCCAGCAGGTATTTGCGAAATAGATGTGTTTTCAAATCGGTTTTATATGGATTTTCTTTTATCTCATTGCTTTCATCATATTATTTAGTTCATTTAGAACAATAACTTTCTAAAGAGTAAGGAGTCAACAATGCTTTTATTTAAACATTTATATTTAATATAACAAAAAAAATAAATAAAAAATAACAGTAGACGAACAAAATAATTTAAACCTTTTATAATATAGACGCATCACCCAATGGCGAACCTCAGTCTTTTAGAGCGAGGCTGATCTTCGCAGGATTAATTGTTTTAGTCTGTTGCAGGCCCCTTTGTATCAATCTTTATTTCTCAGTGTTGCTGCCAGCAGGATCGGCTTCTCTAGCACAAGAATACCTTGAAAGTGTACAGCGATATCGCAGCCCAACTTTGGTTCCGTGTGGTCGTTTACTTCAAGCTTGACCTTTCGCAGCACGTGGAAGAGACCGAGCTTGAGCTCCAGATAAGCCAGTCTCATGCCGAGACATTGCCGCGGCCCGGCGCCAAAAGGAATAAAAGCCATAGGGTCCTGGGTCGCCGTATTCTCCTCTGAGAACCTGTCGGGGTCAAATTTATAGGGGTCGGGGTAGTTTTCGGGGTCCATCATGACCATGTCGACGGGGATCAGCACGTTGGAGCCGCCGGGGATCGTGACGTTTCCGTAGGTGGCGGTATGCACGGACTTCCGGGACACTATCGGAACCGGGGGATGGAGTCTTAATGTCTCTTTGATGACCTGGTCCATGTATTTCAACTGACCCAGTTCCTGATAAGAGGGAGATTCTGATGGTATCAAGCTCTGCATCTCTGAATATACCATTTCCTGAAAAAAAGTTCATGTGAAAATATACGTGTGGTCTTAACACACGGTTGTTAAGTTTTTAGAGAATCTATACTTTCCATAGATCTGATCTGGAAATCGTTACTCTGATGTTCAAATTGATGTTCAAATTGATGTTCAAATCTATGTTCAAATTGATGTTCAAATCTATGTTCAAATTGATGTTCAAATTGATGTTCAAATCTATGTTCAAATTGATGTTCAAATCTATGTTCAAATTGATGTTCAAATCTATGTTCAAATTGATGTTCAAATCTATGTTCAAATTGATGTACAAATCTATGTTCAAATTGATGTTCAAATCTATGTTCAAATTGATGTTCAAATCTATGTTCAAATTGATGTTCAAATCTATGTTCAAATTGATGTACAAATCTATGTTCAAATTGATGTTCAAATCTATGTTCAAATTGATGTGTTCAAATTGATGTGTTCAAATTGATGTGCTCAAATTGATGTTTAAATTGATGATTTCAAATTGATATGTTCAAATTAATTATCAAATTGATGTTCAAATCTATTTTCGAAGCTATGTTCAAATCTGTGTTCAAATCTATGTTCGAATCTATGTTCAAATCTGTGTTCAAATCTATGTTCGAATCTATGTTCAAATCTATGTTCTTCTGTTTGTAAAGTCCAGAAACAAAAAATTAACAAGTTAGCTTCATGGTGAAGAGAAGGTATTTTAATTAAAGTTTTTTGGCTAGTTACGCACCTGAATATCCGGGTGTTTAGCCAAAAGATACAGGCACATCTGTAACGTTGTGGCCGTTGTCTCAAAGCTGGCAAAGACAATCAGCAGACACTGACCAATCAGCTCGTTTTCCGACACGACGAATTCGTTGCCAGGATTCAAGGCATCTGTCGATTAATGTATACCAAAGGGATTAAAAATAGTAATTTTTGTGTAAACCACAACAATGGCGAAGGTAGGGTCAGTGGCCCCCAGGGTTGGGGCGAGATTTTTTAAGCATCCCAGGCGAAAAAAAAACCTGTGTAGAAAATATCGCGCTCCAAATAAAGGAGAAAAAAAAGCCACCAAATGCGGACCACCCCTTTTTAACGCTAGAGTTTCTTAAAACAAAATATCATAATACATGATTCAAGCCCTGGGTTTATAAACGTGGAAACCCACCCAAAATCTCCCACTCTCAACCCTCTCAAATTAACAGGCATTTTTTAGCAAAAGAAAAAAAGTACACGAACGCCGTTTCCTTGTGTTTCAGCAGTACTCGAGCCGTGGGGATAAATCAAGATTTAAATTTGGAAAAATAACAAACGATAATGCAAGTACTGCAACCAGTTTAATGAGCGAAGTAAGGCCGCAGGTTTCACAACCACTTTAATGAGCGAAGTAAGGCCGCAGGTCTCACAACCACTTTAATGAGCAAAGTAAGGCTGCAGGTCTCACAACCACTTTAATGAGTGAAGTAAGGCCACAGGTCTCACAACCACTTTAATGAGCGAAGTAAGGCCGCAGGCCTCACAACCACTTTAATGAGCAAAGTAAGGCTGCAGGTCTCACAACCACTTTAATGAGTGAAGTAAGGCCACAGGTCTCACAACCACTTTAATGAGTGAAGTAAGGCCACAGGTCTCACAACCACTTTAATGAGGGAAGTAAGACTGTAGGTTTCACAACCACTTTAATGAGTGAAGTAAGACTGTAGGTTTCACAACCACTTTAATGAGTGAAGTAAGACTGTAGGTTTCACAACCACTTTAATGAGTGAAGTAAGGCCACAGGTCTCACAACTACTTTAATGAGTGAAGTAAGACTGTAGGTTTCACAACCACTTTAATGAGTGAAGTAAGACTGTAGGTTTCACAACCACTTTAATGAGTGAAGTAAGACTGTAGGTTTCACAACCACTTTAATGAGTGAAGTAAGGCCACAGGTCTCACAACTACTTTAATGAGTGAAGTAAGACTGTAGGTTTCACAACCACTTTAATGAGTGAAGTAGGACTGTAGGTTTCACGACCACGTGCTAGAAAATTGATCGACTTCTTGATTTTCTCTCCCCAAAAGAAAATGTAATTATCTTTTAATAATATAAAAACTGATACAAGAAAATGTGTTCTCAGATATTTTGGAAAACGGACGAGACCAATAAGACCAATAAGACCATTAACCAAACGATAGAAAAAAAAAAATGAAGATTATATAAAGAGAACTTTAAAAATAATTTTTTCTCCTACGGCGTCTTTAAAAGCTTTCATTAGAGAGTCCACAGGAACGGCTTTTGAGACATGAAGCTTGAAGTCATATTTGAGTATCTTAGATGAATTATCCCACTAGATCCCAGTGAAAGGGGCTTAACATGACTTAATGGAACAACCCCCCCCCCCCGAACGAACTCACAGAACTGCTCAAACCCAAATTACACACACACACATACTTTTTTAACCACTTCGCTACCGATGGCGTCTACTTGACGTCACGATCATCCACTTTCAATCACCAGAGAAAGGATAAAATTATTGGGAAGTTAAAAAGCGAATCGCATAAACAATGAATTTTTAAAATATATTTTTTTATTTACCTAAAAAAAAAAAAGAAAAAAAAAAAAGTTTTATAAATTGTTGAGTCAGCAAAAAATCGACGCCCCCCAAAACCCAGCGGTAATGAGAGGGTTGTTATACGTAAACCCTAGATGTACTCTACGCGTTGGTCGTTCGTCTCAGACAACCCTCAGTGGGGACGCCACTGTCATTCGACTTCTTGGTGTAGTTCTAGGGGGTGGGGGGAGGCGAGAGTGTCTATTAATCTGGACTCACCAGACAACTTTGCCGAGATCAAGATCTGCAAGAAATCTTTGGGTCTGTCTTTCCCACTTCTCTCGAGCTCTTCCCTCTCTAACACAACTGGTTCAAGGACGGAAGTGAAATATTTAACAGCGTCCTCACTCACTTGGTCCAGCGCCTCTATGTGGAGCTTCTGTTAACAAGTTAAAATAGCCAAACGTTTTTGAACTAAACAAAAATAAATAAATAATGATTCCGTTCAAATCATCCAATAATACGACCGTTTTTTAAGCTCGGTGGCTCGATTTGCAGCATTTTATTGAGGCAGCAGACACTTGCGACGGCCTGATTACCAGGATTTCAGATGGCACAGAACTGTTAGAACTTATTTTTGGGTGAGAGGTAAATATAAGAAACATTTTGAAAACCAGGCTGCGCCCGGAAATGAAATTAACAATGTTAAATCATTTACATGATTTCATTGAAATGTATTTATTAAATATGAAGCCCATGTACACTCGGCCACCCATCACCCACAGGACAACTAAAACCCATCACCCACAGGACAACTAAAACCCATCACCCACAGGACAACTAAAACCCAGCACCCACAGGACAACTAAAACCCAGCACCCACAGGACAACTAAAACCCATCACCCACAGGACAACTAAAACCCATCACCCACAGGACAACTAAAACCCATCAACCACAGGACAACTAAAACCCATCACCCACAGGACAACTAAAACCCAGCACCCACAGGACAACTAAAACCCATCAACCACAGGACAACTAAAACCCATCAACCACAGGACAACTAAAACCCATCACCCACAGGACAACTAAAACCCATCAACCACAGGACAACTAAAACCCAGCACCCACAGGACAACTAAAACCCAGCAACCACAGGACAACTAAAACCCAGAAACTACAGGACAACTAAAACCCAGCAACTACAGGACAACTAAAACCCAGCACCCACAGGACAACTAAAACCCAGCAACTACAGGACAACTAAAACCCATCACCCACAGGACAACTAAAACCCAGCACCCACAGGACAACTAAAACCCAGCACCCACAGGACAACTAAAACCCATCACCCACAGCACAACTAAAACCCATCACCCACAGGACAACTAAAACCCATCACCCACAGCACAACTAAAACCCATCACCCACAGGACAACTAAAACCCAGCACCCACAGGACAACTAAAACCCATCACCCACAGGACAACAAAAACCCATCACCTACAGGACAACTAAAACCCAGCACCCACAGGACAACTAAAACCCATCACCCACAGGACAACTAAAACTCAGCACCCACAGGACAACTAAAACCCATCAACCACAGGACAACTAAAACCCAGCAACTACAGGACAACTAAAACCCAGCACCCACAGGACAACTAAAACCCAGCACCCACAGGACAACTAAAACCCAGCACCCACAGGACAACTAAAACCCAGCACCCACAGGACAACTAAAACCCAGCACCCACAGGACAACTAAAACCCATCACCCACAGGACAACTAAAACCCATCACCCACAGGACAACTAAAACCCATCACCCACAGGACAACTAAAACCCAGCACCCACAGGACAACTAAAACCCAACAACTACAGGACAACTAAAATCCAGCACCCACAGGACAATTACTATGCTCAGCAAAATAGGTTCAAACGTCTCACTTAAGTTATTCTTAAATTAGATCTTTAATTTATGTATGCAATTTTGGCATACCCCTCTCCACCCAGCTCCTATTGGTTTTTGGGGCTTAATTATTATGTTTCATCATGTGATAAGACTATAAATGATCTACCATCTCTTGTTGATTTCAGATCTTTAAGAAATGTTAACAAAGTCTATACAATTTTGGTACACATAAAAAAAAGGAAATGTTTCTTTTCTCCGTGTATTCATTGTGTCGTGCCGCGGAAATCTGGGAAAAAGGGTAGGTGTGCCGTGGGTGAAACAATAAAAAGTTGCGGAGCACTTGTGTTAAAAAAACAACCCAAACGCAACAACAACTTTTCTAAGCTGGATAAATATTATTGGCTAACCTTGACCAAAATATTGTGAAGCCATTTGAAGCGAAACATCAACAGCATGACGAAATTCATGAACGAGCTCCGCGTCTTGAAGATCTCCTGCGCGTAGCGGGAGAAGTCATCGTCCTCTGTGCCCAGACTGTCGGTCGCGATGCCGAACGCCGAGCTGGCAATGATTTCGCTGGTGTATTGGCCGGTCAAACGTTTCACGGGTACCAAATTAGACGTCCTCGCGTAACCCTCTAGTATCTGGCCCAGCTTTTCAGCGCTCTCACTGATATCGTGGATCGTGTGTTTCAGCTTGCCGGTGCTGGGGAAATCCGTTAAACATCGTGTGAACATTTGCAATGAAAGTTTTCTATTGCTAAAGATGTTAATCTTCCAAGATTCTAAAAATCTTTTAAATTTATTTTGTAAATCTTGGAAAAACAAACATAATCCTGTTAATGGTTTCAGAATCGAGTGAAGACCATTAGTGAAAACTACTTGCGAATACTAATAGTGAAGACTACAAGTGAAGGCTTTTAGTGATGACTACTAGTAAAGACTCTTAGTGAAGACTGCTGGTGAAGACCACTAGTGAAAACTACTCACTAGTCAAGACTACTTTTTGGCGTTGACAAAACAACGATTTAAAAAAAAAATGCTACAGATACCAATAGGAAAGTAAGCAGAATGTCTTAAATATGTTTCTATAATAGCGTGTACTTGAAGAGAACCAACAAAAAAATAAAAAAATAAAAAATAATGAACTCAGTACCGTCATACCTTGTGAATTAGCAAAAATGATTTATTAATATTTTAACATTAATTTGTAACCATTACCTGAATGAAGGGGAGATAACTTTACGGATTCTCTTCCAGTCCTTGCCCTTGATGAAGAAGACCCCGTGCTGCAGGGGAGTTCTGGTCGTCATCAGTTCAATCCTGTCCACAAAGTTGTGGAAGTCCTTGGTCAGTATCTCTCTGATGAGGTGGAGGTCACGTGTTATGAGCGTCATGACCCCCCTGGTCACACCCACCGTGTCACCGTGTTCAAGGATGAGTTCTGACAGCGCTTTTCTGGGGACATGACATGCACTTTGTCTATGTTACTCAATTTGGGGGCAATTAAGCCTTCTGACAGCGCTTTCCTGGGGCATAACACACACTTTGTCTATGTTACTCAATTTGGGGGAAATTAAGGCTTCTGACAGCGCTTTCCTGGGGCATAACACACACTTTGTCTATGTTACTCAATTTGGGGGAAATTAAGCCTTCTGACACTGCTTTTCTGGGGACATGACATGCACTTTGTCTATGTTACTCAATTTGGGGGAAATTAAGCCTTCTGACACTGCTTTTCTGGGGACATGACATGCACTTTGTCTATGTTACTCAATTTGGGGGAAATTAAGCCTTCTGACACTGCTTTTCTGGGGACATGACATGCACTTTGTCTATGTTGCTCAATTTGGGGGAAATTAAGCCTTCTGACACTGCTTTTCTGGGGACATGACATGCACTTTGTCTATGTTACTCAATTTGGGGGAAATTAAGCCTTCTGACACTGCTTTTCTGGGGACATGACATGCACTTTGTCTATGTTACTCAATTTGGGGGAAATTAAGCCTTCTGACACTGCTTTTCTGGGGACATGACATGCACTTTGTCTATGTTACTCAATTTGGGGAAATTAAGCCTTCTAAAAAAAGTATCCCTTTCGAAAAGTTCATATGAAATGTCTCTCTTCCAGGCCCGTACCAGGCAAAAGCTGAGCCTGGGATGACGCCCCTACCCCCCCCTCCCCCGGGCCACTAAAAAGATATAAATAATTAAAATAAATAAATAGCATGAGCCTGCTATCTCTCCCTGTCAAATATGTTTCTAAACCAGTGCCGAGGAGCCGGGTCTGTGATTTGAGACGTATTTGAGTTATGCTTGAGCCGTATCTAACGTTGGTAAAATGTGCATATTCTGTGGACCACACCAAACCAGCCAATGCAAAATCGAAGATTTAACTTAAAATATCATAGGCATATTTCAGCTTCCAAAGGACACGTAGATTTGCCTTTTGATAACTTGTATTGCTTCAAACTATGACAGCTTATGCATAAATGGAGACCAAACAGAGGATGTCAGCTTCGGGTACATCCACTTTGTCAACAACTGGGCTTAAATAAGGTTTTTGTACTTAAAATGTATTTTCTTCTTCTAAATATTAAGGGCCCACGATCAATGTATTGATCATTCTGGCTCCTATGTATGGAGAGGGGATTTTCAACGTATTGAAGAGGATATTTCACTGATTGTAGGGGTACTCAGCGAGGGTATCATGAACTCAGGGTTGGAAGGCATGAACCGATAGACGTTAATGTGTCTAGTGTTGTCGTCTCAACTATTCTTTTTGAAAGCTTGTTCCAGTCCTTGATTGTCTCTGGCAGGAATGAGCAGTAGCTTTATTGGGTTCTTGCTGTTACGAGCCTGAACTGTCTGTCATGACCTCGTCGCTGTCGGAAGGGGGGGGGGAGAGAGAGAGAGACGTGTTTCTGTTTAATGCTGGAGCAGTGGACCAGCCCATCATTTATCTTGTACACCATGGCGAGTCTGGTTTATCGTCGTCGTTCCTCCAATGGTGACCAGCCCAGTGTTTCCAGCATGCTTAGAGGTGTTCCTATAGCGGTTCAGGACAAATTGTGCCGAGGTCAAAGCGACAATTACGATGATAGTTAAGATAAGACGAAAACAACCAATCAATCAATCTATTTATGCCCGGTCCAAGTTCGGGCTTTGAGAATCCCTGTTGTTTAATGAAACAACCGGGGCATCGCCAATACTAACAGCCTTCACTGACGGAACATTACAAAAGTTAATGATAGTGTACTTCATTGTTGGCCGTGGAGCATAATATTTGTTGAGAGAATTGTACAATTTGTGTACTCTTTAAAAGTGTATGATAGAAGTTCGTACTTCGTACCAGATATGACCAATTAAAAAAAATATATATTTTTTTTTAAAATAAAAGAACAAAAAAACAACGTATGAAACCATTTAAAGCACACCCTAAAGCAGGTTTCAAGCACGCTAGATGCCCGTTAATAATTATTGCATTTCTTGCTTGCAGCCTCCCATAAATGGAATTAAATTGTAAAACCAGTCAAAATATACGTTATTTTTAAATACAGGATTGTTATATTGAATCAAACATATGTGGCCCTAATACAAACAATCGCCAGTGTGGGACGCGTAAAGAAATCACGGCATCTGCTGGTAAATTATAATGCTTAAACTGTTCAATTATAGGACGCAATAATTAAACAACGGATTTGAAAAAAAAATAATTGGATAACTGAAACTACTTATATCTATAAAATCAATTGTTGTGTGTCATGTCTTATAATGGAAGTGCTAGGACAGTTAAGGTTATTCAAGTGCTAGCCAATGAAATAATGAAAAATTAGCCAATGTACTAATGACAAATAGCCAATATTCTATGACAAATTAGCCAATGAACTATGACACATTAGCCAATGTGCTAATGACACATTAGCCAATGTTCTATGACAAATTAGCCAATGAACTATGACGCATTTGCCAATGAACTATGACAAATTAGCCAATGAACTATGACAAATTAGCCTATGAACTATGACGCATTTGCCAATGAACTATGACACATTAGCCAATGAACTATGACAAATTAGCCAATGAACTATGACAAATTAGCCAATGAACTATGACAAATTAGCCAATGAACTATGACGCATTTGCCAATGAACTATGACACATTAGCCAATGAACTATGACAAATTAGCCAATGAACTATGACACATTAGCCAATGAACTATGACAAATTAGCCAATGAACTATGACAAATTAGCCAATGAACTATGAAAAATTAGCAAAGGTACCATAACAAAATAGTCAATGTACTATGACAAATTAGCTGATGTACTTTGACAAATTAGCCCATGTACTAATGACAAATTATCCAATGTAAACATTTTAAATAAAAACAACATCACCAACACCAATCTACAATTCAATGAGAATTTGGGATTTCAGCAAATTATTCATTTTACGCCTGTTACCTTAACTGGAATAAACTACCAACGTGTCCAATCTAAATAGTTTTTTTTTTTCAATGTAAATTCACCGAATTATATATAATTTTTAATTGATTTTTAAAGTTAAACTGAAGTCATTACACAAAACTAAATATCTACTATAGCTACGCCTTTGAAAACTGATATTATAACCCATTATTGCGCTGACAAGTATCCGTAAACATTCTATTACTGTTCCCGTGAAGATAGTAATGACAAGATGATAAGTAGTAATACATAAAAGAAAGCACTTCAAAGCACTTTAGTCACTTGAAAGTAATTAAAGATATACGATTGTAAAAAAACAAAACAGATATCCGTGAATATGCACGTCATGGTGCGCTTCAACATCGGAAACCCGCTCATGAAGCAGCGTTCTTGCAGCCACCTCTCTACCAGCCCATACACCGATCAGAAACAACATCATATTTTGATCGATAACAATATATGGTATGTTTTTTTTTCCGAAGACAGTTCTGAAGGTGCCTTGTTGTCAAACAAGGAAAACAAAACAGGTCAAGAGGGTCCAAAAGAAATAGAATAGTATCAACAACCTTCGAGGTTCGGCTGTGGAAACTTAAGCGGAGTGTAGATGGCAGAAATATTCACAGTCTCTTGAAGAAGGGCAAATACCGACACACAATGTTTCAATATCATGTAACTTGCCGCATAGACTTAATACGAAATGTTGATCCGCTTTGTAAAATCGATATACCTTATGTTTCATTTAATCAATTTCCTAAATAAATCATACTTTGATTTCCGAGCCAGATATCATGTATTTGACGTTAAAGAGATGTTTCGGCGGCCGGCAGCTTGTTCTGTACTGTTTGTCTAATAGACGATGTGGAATTATAGGCCTACTTATTATAAATTAAAAACATATTTTATTTTTAAAAAATACGCACCAGGTACTTGTTCGAGATTGAATAGGAAATTTGAGGGATTTAAAAAACGTTAAGTAGAAAATATAAGACCTTTGAAAATTTTTTTTATCTAAGACCAGTTTAAAAGAAACTAAAAAACAGGAAATAATTAAAAACATTTTATAATGCATTAGCAAGGAAAGTCTATGCAGAAGTGTAGTAAATCACTCTATGTGGCCAAAGGAATCGAGTTGAATGAAAATAAAACTTAAATATGTTTCATTTAAATGAAATTTAAAAAAAAAATATTTTCTGCCAACGTGTTAAATGGTTTCAATTATTACATAGAGTTTTTGTCTACAATTCTGACCATACTTATTTTTGTGTAATGCATTTTAACCAATGTTAATTTTAACACTAATTTGTGTGTGCTTTTAAACCCATCTTTGATAAAAATCACTTTTTTAAAAAAAAAATATTTAAAAAAATATTTTCTCATTTTTAATATTAAAATTGTGGGCTTTAACTTATCAACAAAAGAAGAGTTAATGAAGAATTTTTTTAAAGAGCGAATGCTCACAAAAACCATGTTTTAATGAATTAACTCTTTAATGATTTAACTCTTTAATAATTTAACTCTTGAATGACTTAACTCTTGAATGACTTAACTCTTGAATGACTTAACTATTGAATGACGTAACTATTGAATGACGTAACTATTGAATGACGTAACTATTGAATGACGTAACTATTGAATGACTTAACTCTTGAATGACTTAACTCTTGAATGACTTAACTCTTGAAAGACTTAACTCTTTAATGACTTAATTCTTTAATGACTTAACTATTGAATGACTTAACTCTTTAATGACTTAACTCTTGAATGACTTAACTCTTGAATGACTTAACCCTTGAATGACTTAACCCTTGAATGACTTAACTCTTGAATGACTTAACTCTTTAATGACTTAACTCTTGAATGACTTAACTCTTGAATGACTTAACTCTTGAATGACTTAACTCTTGAATGACTTAACCCTTGAATGACTTAACCCTTGAATGAATTAACTCTTGAATGACTTAACTATTGAATGACTTAACTCTTGAATGACTTAACTCTTGAATGACTTAACTCTTGAATGACTTAACTCTTGAATGACTTAACTCTTGAATGACTTAACTCTTGAAAGACTTAACTCTTGAATGACTTAACTCTTGAATGACTTAACTCTTGAATGACTTAACTCTTGAATGACTTAACTCTTGAATGACTTAACTCTTGAATTACTTAACTCTTTAATGACTTAACTCTTGAATGACTTAACTCTTTAATGACTTAACTCTTGAATGACTTAACTCTTGAATGACTTAACTCTTGAATGACTTAACTCTTGAATGACTTAACTCTTGAATGACTTAACTCTTGAATGACTTAACTCTTTAATGACTTAACTCTTGAATGACTTAACTCTTGAATGACTTAACACTTGAATGACTTAACCCTTGAATGACTTAACTCTTGAATGACTTAACTCTTTAATGACTTAACTCTTTAATGACTTAACTCTTTAATGACTTAACTCTTGAATGAATTAACTCTTGAATGACTTAACTCTTTAATGACTTAACTCTTTAATGACTTAACTCTTGAATGACTTAACTCTTTAATGACTTAACTCTTTAATGACTTAACTCTTGAATGACTTAACTCTTGAATGACTTAACTCTTTAATGACTTAACTCTTTAATGACTTAACTCTTTAATGACTTAACTCTTGTATGACTTAACCCTTTGCCTACAGGGAACAAAAACTAAACAACAGAATTTAAGGGCTTTGGCGTTTTATACTCCTGGTCGTATGTCGCCCATTGAACTGGATCTACATTTGGTTTTCCCTTTCTCTAACCCTTTCCAAAATCACCCCACCCCTAGGTACAACAATAAACTACAGGTAGTAGTTCCTCAGTCGATAAGAGTAATTTTAGCAACATTAGCTTTTGAGTGTCAAAGACAAATTAAAAACCGCAAAGAAATACTTATTACACTTCTATGTTAGATGCATTAAACCTATCTTTTAAAAAAAAGTTTTTTACATTCATCTAGTGAGGTAGAGCGTGTCACGAATGGGCGAAATGTACCTGTGTAGCAAGTGCTCTGGTGCGGCCTGGCATGACAACACCACCGCCCACAACAAAATAACCAAAGTGTGTACGTGCTTTTTTCCGACGACATTACCTGCTCGATTAAAGACAAAAGGGTTATACCTGAAATCCGTCAGAGCGTGTCTGCCCATCGTCACCTGCTTGACTCCGTATTTATCCCACGTCTCCCGACTGGCCAACTGGGTGTAGATGCAGTAGACGAACAAGACCGTGGCAATGACCATCAGGGAATTCGAGACGTCGATGATCGCCTCGGAAACGTCTTGTGCTCTCTGGACATCCATGGCATTCGTCGGAGTTAGGAGTTGATAAGCCTTCAAGCTCCTTCCCTTTCTAAGTCACTAAAACACTGTTGATTTCGTAAAAATCTCATCGAGAAGTGTATACAAATAAACTTTATTTCTCTTTGCCACAGCCTCGGGCACACTTAACAGTCGGAAGACAACGAATATAACGTGTTGGTTAACAGGAGGCTGAGACAACTGTGTGCGGCTGTTCGACTCTAACTTGGCCGATTGACATCTGGAGACACATCTCTGTACACTAGTGTCAAAACACTTGCGTTCCGGATGTGTCCTTAAACACACGGCGAGCTCATAGTTCGCACGTGGGCGTATTGTATTTAGCGTAGTAATAATAGTAAGACTTGATCATTGTGATAATAGAGAAAGACAACAATGTTCAGCTGAGACAATGTGCACATTTTGGTGATGTATCTTCAAGTTAGTTTATTCATTAAAAGACACATACACAAAAAGACCTTAATTATATTGGATTACAGCGATGTTTTTACGTCTGTTGCTGCTAAATTATAACGGCTAATGGGCAATTAATATATTAAAATAAATTAATATAAAATACTCCTGATCCACAAGATTGATAAACATTGCTCGGAAATAAGGATGCCAAACGATGACCCGAATTCCGATACTTGATTTTTGAAACCGATTATCGGTTGTTGACTTTTAAAAAAGGGGATCAAATTGTTCAAAAGATAACTTTACAAAAAAAAAGTAACAATCCGGATTTAAAAAAAAATTAAAAAAATTCGTAGGCGAGATTTAAAAAATAAAATAATAAACTGACAGAGTACAGTGAAATCTATAAGACAGGTGCATGGTTCGCGTGTCTAGCCATTCCAAGTGTTACCAAAATAGATGACAACCGCTTGGAAAGAAATATGTAGTCACCTGCTTTCCCCGGCAGGCAATTTGATATCTATAAACTAACGATTCAGCCTTATTGCAGATCACATAGTCGCAATTTTGTTGCTGGTTTTGTAATAAGGTCAAGTGCTGGTATGAAACTGTATCACATGAGCTGCTTGGATTATTCTAGAATTAGATTTTAACTGCTTCTTTCGATCATATAAAATATGTAATTCTGACTTTTATATGAACTATTTTGATCGGATTCATAGAACCGATAACTGGCTGGCGCAAAAAAAAAAAAAAAAAAAAAAAAAAAAAAAAAAAAAA